GCGCATGAACGCTAGTGCTTGCTGTACTGTCACTCTATAGCACATTACCTGCTAACTTTCATATTAATGTTTAAACCAAAACCTGTTTTAGTTTTTTAACACCTGTAAAATAGCCACGTTGATCTCGCCATCGCCGCCGCCAGACGAAAAATCATCAGCGCCCATTGTTTTAGATTCAGGCATATATTTTGTCCCGCCAAACTGAACTCTACCTCCTAAGAAATAGACCCTAGTCTAGTTTAGGCGCATGTTACGCCCTTCTCTTATCATCAGTTTTAATATTAACACGTACAAGTAGTCAAGGATAGGGTAGATACTTTAATATTATCTAAACGCTGTTTAGGCGACTTTTTAACTCGGGTGACTTACCATACAAAATTTAATAAAACTATAAATTCACTTAGCAAATCATTTATTTTGTGGAGTTATTAATTAAATACATTACTATAATATCTAATCTAAGTTACTTTATTAATTAAATTACATTCTCTCTTAAAAAGTACTATCATTTATGTATGGGAACTGTTTTTACGCTCACTACCAGATAACGTTGCCCTAACTTTATTTTGTAGTTGATTATTGGTCCAGTAAATCCAGTAATAAAAATCGTGGTTCTATCTTTAAATTCTAAAGTTACTTTAGCGCCATTTTACAGCAAGAATCAACTGCTATAAAAATAAAATAACATTTTTTTTCTGGCCATGTGACCAAGTGTTTTTTTTTTACTTTTATTCATCTTTTTTTCATAATTATTAACTTAGACAGAAATATAGTAAACTATTAGGGCAAATAAATTATAATTTTAATTTTTAATTATAATTAGTATGAGCAATTTTTTTATATCGTACAATGGCCGTAGATGACTGGAAATTACAAAAAAGAAATTGAAAAAGCATTGTCACAAATGGATTGTTGTTAGACTACTATTGAAAACGACAATTTATGCCAGAAACAAAATATAAAAAACTATACATTCAAAAATTAAGTAACATGGCTAACCCAATTTTACTTGGTGGCGCCGACCTCGACAACCGCGTTGCATTAAAAAAAAATTTATATTAAATACTTTGCACGGTCTTCAGTACATTCTACGGGCCAGTACATTATAACAGCGTTTGTCGAACACTTGTCATCTAAACCGGGGCTTAGTCTATGGTTAATAGTGTTGAAAGTTTTCTGTGCAAGCGGCGCGGTCAGCGCAGGATAGCAACTATACAAGGTAACAAAATTGGACAAACAAAAAAAACTTAAATGCTAAAAGTGAATGAAGTTCTATATGTGATATTAATATAATTTAAATATTTAGAGCTCACCATCACGTCATTGTGTTTGCCTTTTTAAACTTAATTATTAATAAGTTGGACGCAGTGCCAATCTTATTAAGTCGATAAGTAATCCTTATATCTAACTACTAAACTAAACAACATATAGAAGAATCACGATATTGTTCTCTCATAATAAAACATTCAACGTGTAGCATTATGTTGCCGACGTATTGAGTGATGTTTCGTTCAATCTGCAGACGGCAGCACATTAAGCTACAAATTGACAGATCTTGTTCCGTTGCTCTGGAGGCGATATTGACCAAAAGTGTATAGCTTGATGTGCTGTTGACTGTACCTACGCGTTCTAGGCGACACTATCAACCTGTTACAGTTCCCTTAGCGAGGAGTGCTTTCATAAAAAATAGTT